ATACTAACAGCTGTCTGAATTATTTTGGTTGATTGTAATCTATTACATACCTTTCTATCAAAATTATCTAACATTATCAAGATGAATTTGTTCTGACACAGTGTAACTCTGAGTTCTTGCCATATTTTATTACCATTTTCTAAACTATAGCGAATAAACTGTGATAATGTGAGAAATGTTGAAGGTGTCTGAATAAATTTTGGTTTGACTGTATCTGTTTGATAAATGAAGTTAACCAACTAACATTATACATACCCTTTTGGTTTCTGTACCCAATATTTAAAAAATGTACAAATGCAATAAAAATATTGGTATCGGTACTCGGTATCGGCAAGTACCAAAAATAAAAGTATCGGTATTGGACGAGTACTGGAAAAAGTGGTATCGGTGCATCCCTAACATTTAGTCATTTAGCAGACGCTTTGATGAGATGAGAAAATGAGAACAGAATTTTCATTCTGAACTATCCCTTGAATCTAATGCCCCTGGCTATTGATTTTTAATGTTTTAAATAATTCTACATCTTCATTTGCCTTCTCCTTTTTGTATTTGTTTACTGAATAGATTGAATTAACCCCAAAATGGTTCACAGGTCTGTTCCAATAGGATAATACAAAGTAATAAAATAATAGTAATAAAAATAATAAAAAGTTTTGTAGTTTGCTATCTTAACTATGCACAGTAATATGGTGGGTCAATATTATTCTTTTTATTTCACTTCTTTTGGACTGAAGCACTGCAACACCCGCTGACTGCAATGATAGAGCTTGGAATAGCCAGGACAATTTTTAATATAACTCCGACTGGATTCGTCTGAAAGAAGAAAGTCATATACACCTAGGATGCCTCGGGGGTGAGTAAAACACAGCCTAATTTTCATTTTTGGGTGAACTAACCCTTTAACACCAAAAGCTCACCTCTCATTGTGTGATTCTGTGGATGGATCCTCAATAAGGCCTAAAAGCTCTGGAGGGATGTACACGTCTTTCTTCTCACCATAAACACAACTGGGTTTTTCAGACCATCTTTGAGAAAGTTCCACTACAATAAGAGACATTTGTAATGTTCAAACATGCATTAACAGACACAACACATCTAAAATCATCTAATAGAACTACATGACATACATGATTTAATAAATGCTTTGATTTATGGGTAATTTTTCATTAAAGCTAAAAATACATATATATAGCAAAAAAAAAAGATAAAAACTGTAAAAACTGAGTTCAGGTGCTAATCTGGGACGGGGTACATGCAATGGAAATAATGAGAGACATCAACAGATCCCATTCTCTATCTGATTCTGTCTGCTGGCAACACTCACATATCGTCACGGGTTTCTTCTGTCTCATGGACGCTCTTATGATGTCGGAGCCATGGATCCTGTTTCTGTGTCTGTGATTCTTTGTCTCATAAAACCACTCCCCAGTCAAGTACTTCAGCCTGCTTCTGTCTCGCTCAGTCTTACGAAGCTGCCTGAAAGGACATCAAATTTATAAATAAATACACACATAC